CGGGCTTTCCACATGGACCCCAACATACCCAGTGTGCTTGGTAGAGGCATAGACAAGACCAAACCAAGGGCTAAATTCCCATCCTCACCACTTTGGAAGAGGTTGCCCAAGGAGGCTGTGGATACCCCATTCCTGCAGGCACTCAAGGCCAGGCTGGATGTGGCTCTGGGCAGCCTGGTCTGCTGGTTGGCGACCTGCACATAGCAGGGGGTTGGAACTGGATGAGCATTGTGCTCTTTTTCAACCCAGGCCATTCTATCATTCTATCATTATATGAAATCCATTTTCCCTTTGCCTGCTCTCAGCCCAAGGGCTGAGCATTGCCTACTTTCGTTTCTGAAGTTATCAGGAAAATATTTATTTGACCAAGCCAAGATAACAGCGGGCTGTGGGCCAGTGCCAAAAAGCACTGAACTCAATGGGAGCTTTTCCTGTTGACTGCAGTGAGTTTTGCAGTGAGGACATGACCCTGAGCTGGGAATTATAGGTGGTCCCCACACTCCTCAAAGCTCTTCCCCGTGCTCATCACTGGGCGTTGGTAGAATCATCAGATCATTAAGGTTGGAGATGATCTCCAAGATCCCCAACTCCAACCCAACCCCCACCATGCCCACCGACCACAACCCTCAGTGCCACATCCCCATGGTTTGGAACAGCTCCAGGGATGGTGACCTGGATGAAGGCACTGAGTGCACCCTCAGTACGTCTGCAGATGACATCAAGTTGGCTGGAAGTGTGGATCTGCCTGGGGGTAGCGAGGCCCTACAGAGGGATCTGGACAGGCTGGAGAGCTGGGCTGAAGCCAATGGGATGAGGTTCAACAAGGATGAGGTCCTGCACTTTGGCCACAACAACCCCAGGCAATGCTACAGGCTTGGGGATGAGTGGCTGAAGGAAATGGACCTGGGGGTGTTGATTGATGCTCGGCTGAACGTGAGCCAGCAGTGTGCCCGGGTGGCCAAGAAGGCCAATGGCATCCTGGCTTGCATCAGGAATGGTGTTGCCAGCAGGAACAGGACAACAATTGTCCCCCTGTACTCAGCCTGGTGAGGCTGCACCTTGAGTGCTGTGTCCAGTTTTGAGAGAGATTTAGGCTGGACGTTAGGAAATACTACTTTTCTGAAAGAGTGGTCAGGCACTGGAATGGGCTGCCCAGGGAGCGATGGAGTCACCGACCTTGGAGGTGTTCAAGGAAAGTTTGGACGTTGTGTTGAGGGACATGGTTTAAAGAGAGCTATTGGTTATAGGTGGATGGTTGGACTGGGTGATCCTGTGGGTCTTTTCCAACCTTGGTGATTCTATGATTCTGTATATCTCCATATGAGATCTATCCATCCCTATGAGATCCACATATTCCCGTATGAGATCTATCCATCCCCATGAGACCTATCTATTCCCATATGAGGTCTATCCATCCCTATGAGATCTATCCATCCTTATATGAGGTCTATCCATCCCTATATGAAGTCTATCCATCCCTACGAGATCTATCCATCTGTATATGGGATCCACATATCCCCATATGAGATCTATCCATCCCTATGTGAGGTCTATCCATCCCTATATGAGGTCTATCCATCCCTATGAGATCTATCCATCCCTATGAGATCCACATATCCCCATATGAGATCTATCCATTCCTATATGAGGTCTACCCATCCCCATATGAGGTCTATCCATCCCCATGAGATCTATCCATCCCTATGAGATCCACATATCCCCATATGAGATCTACCCATCCCTATGAGATCTATCCGTCCCTATATGAGGTCTATCCATCCCTATGAGATCTATCCATCCCTATGAGATCTATCCATCTCTATATGAGATCCACATATCCCTATATGAGGTCTGTCCATCCCCATGAGATCTATCCATGCCTATATGAGTTCTATCCATCCTTACAAAATCTATCCCTCTGTATATGAGATCCACATATCCCTATATGAGATCTATCCATCCCCATGAGGTTTATCCATCCCCATATGAGATCTATCCATCCCCATATGAGGTCTATAGGGCAGGGCTTGATCTCCTGTCCTGCACATACCCAGACACCTGCAGCACTCTGCAGCTGGAGCACGGAGCTGCTGTGTGTGTCAGCAGAGGACACTGCTGCACTGCATCACTTAAAGAAGCTTTCCTGGGGGAAGTGAGTCCGACTAATTAGCAGCACTAAATAAACAAATAGCTGCAAGAGGATGGAACATTCAAGTTGCATTTAGCTTGTGGAAGTGTTAAAGGCTCTTAAAGCCAGGGGAGGGCGAGGGTCACTGGTTGGGAACTGGAGTGAAGCAGAGCATCAGTGATGAAGGAGGCAGTGATGAAGCACTTGGGGAAATGCAATTAGGAGAATTGCCTCGCATTCTGCAATCCACCCTGGTGATTTTCTTCAAGGAAATGTTCAAATGCAGTTTAATATTTCAAAGGTTTCATTGCAGCAGTTCTAATAAGCTAAGGCAGAGTCAGGCCATGCAGACTGAACCCAAGGCTGCCCATTCACCATCACATGGCAGTGCGTGGTGGGGAGCAGCACTGCTGTTGTGCACAGCCCTGCATTATCTGTGTGCACCCCTTGCACGCCTCCTATTCACTCTTTGCACACTCCCTGAGCACCACCTTGTGCATATCCCTGTGCACGCCTTGCAATCAAACCTTTGCATGTGCCTGCGCCCCTTCGTGCATCCCCACGTGCACCTCTTCTGTGCACCCTCCAGTGCTCTCATTACCCTCCCATGCAGCCCCTTGTGCCCCTTCTGTGCCCCCTCCTATGCACCCTTCCTCTGCACCACTTTGTACACCTTTGTGCACAACCGTGTGCACTCCCTGTGCCTTTTCTATGCATCCTCATGTGCACGACTGGCACCCTCTTGTGCAGCCCTCTGCAACACCTATGCGCCCACTACACAGCCCCGTGTGCACCCCCCTCCTGCCCACCTCCATGCACCCTCTGTGCACCTTCTTTGTATCCACACAAACCCCCTTGCATCCCCAATGCACCTTCTGTGCTCTCCCCATGCAACACCTTAAGCACCCCCTATGCATTTCACCATGCACTCCCTATGCATTCACCTCCCATGCAACCTCTATATACCCCTATACACCTCCCATACATTGCACACCTCCCATGCACACCCCAAATATCCCCCCATACACCTCCATGCAACCCCTTAAGCACCCCTATGCACCTTGCCATGCACATCCTATGCATTCACCTCCCATGCAACCTCTATCTACCCCTTATACACCCCCCATACACCACACACTCCCCATGCACACCTCAAGCATCCCCTCATACACCTCCAACGCACCTCCTATGCACCTCCCATGAACCCACTCTGCTCTGCTATACACCCTCTATGCTCCCCTATACACACCCCATGCACCCCCTTTGCACCCGTATGCACCCTCTATGCATCCCCTATGTATCCCCTAATATACCACCTATGCTCCCCTGAGCACCCCTTATTTAACCCCTTATGCATCCCCTGTGCACCCCTTATATATGCCCTATGCACTCCCTATGCATACCCCTATGCACTCCATGTGCACCCCTTATATACCTCCTATGCACCCCTTATGCATCCCCTGTGCATCCCCTATGCACCCTTATATACCCCCAATGCATTCCCTATGTACCTCTATGCACTCCTTATATGCTCCCAATGCACCCCTTATGCCTTCCCTATGCATTCCCTGTGCACCCCTTATATACCTCTATGCACCCCTTATATACCCTCTATGCACCCTTATGCATCCCCTATGCAGCCCTTATGCATCCCATATGCATCCCCTTTGCACCCCTTATATACACCCTATGCACCCCTTATATGCACTCCCCAGGCACCCCTTATATACCCCTCATATACCCCTATGCAACCCCTATGCATCCCTTATATACACCCTATACATCCCTTATATGCACCCCTTACATGCACCCCCTATGCAACCCCTTATATACCCTTATGCACCCCTTATATGTACCCTTTATATATCCCCT